TCCAGGTTCCTTAAAAGGAAAACAGGTGGGTATCACACCCTCCTAAATCACTGAGGGTCTGGTTCTAGGTGCCAACCTCCGGATGCCGTGGTGTGGCCACAGAATGTGGACCAGGTCAGCCAGGTGGCAGCCCTGTGCTACAGCCAAGGCGTGCCCATCATCCCGTTTGGCACCGGCACTGGGATTGAAGGTGGCGTCTGTGCCGTGCAGGTATAGTCGGTGTCCCCCCTGGGTCTGGTCTCACCACATTTGGCACACTTGTAGCTGCCTCCTTCACCACACATGGCTGTCGGCCAGGTCCGGCCCTCGAGCTACCTGCCATCCAGGGCTTTGGTCTGGCTGCTGGGAGGTCAACTTGGGGTGGGGTCTGGGAGTTGGGGCCTGGTTGGAGACTGAGGTCGGTGGCCTTCTTGGCTCCTCTCCCACAAGGGTGGTGTCTGCATTAACCTGACCCATATGGACCGAATCCTGGAGCTGAATGCAAAAGACTTCTCTGTGGTGGTGGAGCCCGGCGTCACCCGCAAAACCCTCAATGCCTACCTGCGGGACAGTGGTCTCTGGTTTCCTGTGGGTAGGCCTGGGACTCATAGACCTCTCCTGGGCCCTGAGGGCTCCCTGGCGGCAGGGCTGTTTCTGGGGTTCAGGGGACCCCCTCTTCCCCCAGCTGGAGGGAAAGGGTCCCCCAACCCCCCAGCCTGCCCTCTGCCCTCCAGACCCCGGTGCAGACGCCTCTCTCTGTGGCATGGCAGCCACTGGGGCCTCAGGCACCAATGCGGTGCGCTACGGTACCATGAAGGACAACGTGCTCAACCTGGAGGTGGTGCTGCCTGACGGGCGGCTGCTTCACACCGCGGGCCGAGGCCGGCATTTCCGGTGAGCGCTTCCCCGGCCCCCATCTCCCCCACCCCCCGCCACTGCTGGGAGCCCTGAGCACTGATGGGGGGCTCCCCAGCAGAGAGGAGGCTGTCTGTGAAAGATACCTCCTCCTCCAGCTAGCCTCCTGCCCAGGCAGGCTAGGCCTTTGGCCTGTCACGTGGGCCAGAGTTGATGGCACTAGGGTTTACTCTCTCTGTGCGAGGAAGATGCGGGTTGTGGAGCAGGAAGCACTGGGCCAGGGAATTGGTCTCGATGGCCACCTGGCCCATGGGCACGGTGCCCTGAGTTCCTGCTCCAGGATTCTGGCCAGAGGTCCCTCATCATGTGGTCGGGGTACTCACCTACCTTGTATGTCTCCGGGGACCAGGAAGAGTGCAGCTGGCTACAACCTCACAGGGCTCTTCGTGGGCTCTGAGGGGACACTGGGTCTGATCACAGCTACCACCCTACGCCTGCACCCTCTCCCTGAGGCCACGGTGGCTGCCACCTGTGCATTCCCCAGTGTCCAGGCTGCTGTGGACAGCACCGTAAACATCCTCCAGGCTGCAGTGCCCATTGCCCGCATTGGTGAGTGGGGACTGGGGCAGTCAGGATGGGCTCCCTGGAAGAGTTCCCCTTGGAAGGCCAGGCCTCACCTGGCCTGCCCTCTCCCTGGTCCCAGAGTTCTTGGATGACGTCATGATGGACGCCTGCAACAGGCACGGCAAGCTGAACTGCTCTGTGGCTCCCACACTCTTCCTCGAGTTCCATGGCTCTGGGCAGGCGCTGGCAGAGCAGGTGCAGCAGGCAGGTATGCAGGGGGTGTGTGGGGGGCGGCTGGCTGTCCCAGGGTGGGGCCCAGTGGCAACCCTCCTCCCCCCACCGCAGAGGAGATAGCCCTGCACAACGGAGCCTCCCACTTCTCCTGGGCCAAGGAGGCCGAGGCGCGCAGCCAGCTCTGGGCAGCGAGGCACAACGCCTGGTACGCAATGCTGGCCCTACGGCCGGGCAGCAAGGTGAGCTGGGGCTGGGCTGGAGGTGGGACCCGCAGCTTGGCCGCAAGGCCTTTCCTCCCCCCACCACCCCATGGTACAGGGCGGCACATGGTGGCCCACCAGGGGTCAGGGCCTGGCTGAGCAGGTCCTAGACTACAGACTACCCCCCCATACCCCCACAGCTGCTTCCCAGACACCGTCTATAGAGAAGGCACAGTTGTCAAACCCTCAGAGCCCTTCCTGTGGGCCAGGCCACAGGGACAGTGCAGTGTGCTTAGGAATTGTAAACAGGGAAGCCTTCCTGGAGGAGGAGGTGGAGAGGAGGGTGTCAGCCCAACCTGGAAGGGGAGTCAGGGCTCCAGGCAGCTGTGCAGAGGCCGAGGTGTGGAGCCAGGAGGGAGAGGTGAAACCTCTGCCGGCAGGGCCTGGCGAACACACCTGGGCCAATCATCTTGTTGGGCAGGGAGGGGAATGCGGTCTAGAGAAGAGCAGGGCGTTTCCTGTGTGAGGCCAAGAGCCGAAGCCCAGGGCCCCAGACCGGTTCTCATCCTGGGCCACAGCGACCCCTCACCTCGGGGCAGGCAGGAGCTGGCTGGGAGGACCTCACGGGCCTGCGCTCTGACGCAGGGCTATTCCACCGACGTGTGCGTGCCCATTTCCCGGCTGCCGGAGATCGTGGTGCAGACCAAGGAGGACCTGAAGGCCTCGGGACTCACAGGTTCTGCCTGCTCCCTGTGGCAGTGACATGGGGGAGGCACTGGGGCTGTCCAGAGCCCAGGCCCGGGGGCGGGACAGAGAGGCTGGGCTGCAGGCAACCGCTCTGTCCTCTGGGCCCCCAGGAGCCATTGTTGGGCACGTGGGCGACGGTAATTTCCACTGCATCCTGTTGGTCGACCCGGACGACGCCGAGGAGCTCCGCAGGGTCAAAGCCTTTGCAGAACAGCTGGGCAGGTAGGAGCAGTGCCGGGGTGGGGGGAAGCAGAGGGCAGCGGGAGGGGGAGCCCGCTGAGGTGCTCTTCTCCCTGCCCCCCAGGCGGGCACTGGCTCTCCACGGGACGTGCACTGGGGAGCACGGCATTGGGCTGGGCAAACGGCAGCTGCTGCAGGAGGAGGTGGGCGCCGTGGGCATAGAGACCATGCGGCAGCTCAAGGCCACGCTGGACCCCCGAGGCCTCATGAACCCAGGCAAGGTGCTGTGATAGGCTCTGGGTACTCAACCCACAAGCCTCCAGACTACGGAGCCCCTGTTCTGGAAGCTTCCTTCATGCCACTGACCCTGCAAGATGCTGTCTTCATCTGCCAGCTAGCTCTCTGTATCTGGGGCTCAAGGACAGAGGGCTGGAAGAGAAGTCTGGGCACCGGACTCCTCCCTGGCCCTCTTGCTACCCTTGGGGGCCTTTTATCCAGTAAATGACCCAGGGTGGTTCCGGTAAGGCCGCCTCTTTTCTGCTCTTACACATCCTGTCCTGGCTGGGGGAGATGGCGCGTCCACCCCAGGACTTAAGGACACTCATCCTTTGACATCTCCCCATTGCTGGGGGCCCAAGACCCTTCCCCTCACACCCTGTGACAGGAGTGCTCCTTCCCTAATGTAGGAAGGGACTTGCCACTCCATGTTGATAGGTCTTCTCCTTGGAGCCCCCCAAACAAATCTGAACCCCACTTGCAGCTGTCTGGAGATCAGGAGGCAGCACTTCCCTCCACTCCCGCTCCAGCTTCTCTGTCCTTGAGCCAGTGATGCCTTGTTAGGGGCCTGTCCTGACTTGTTGCAGCCTGGGACGGGCGGTGCCCGGGCTTCGGAAAGGAACCCAGGTCCCTGTCTCAACTACTCTTGCTTGTGAGAACCTTAGGCTTGGGGACCTGTCCATGGCTGATGTCACTTATGATAGACTCCCCCACCAGGCCTGAACGGGGCCCTACAACACTCCAAACATGTTCTTCAAGTAGCCGCTGCCAGTCATTAGAAGTGGAAGTAAAACTGTCTTCCTTGTCCCACACCTGTCTATGGTGTGATGTATTGTGCTACCAGTTTTTTTGTGTGGTTCTTAGTTTTTTTTCAAGACAGGGTCTCGCTCTGTCACCCAGGCTCAAGTGATCCTCCCACCTCAGCCTCCCTCCCGAGTAGCTGAGACTACAGTCATGCGCCACTATGCCCAACTCATTTTTACATTTTTTGTAGCGATGGGGTCTCCCTGTGTTGCCCAGGCTGGTCTTGAACTCCTGGGCTCACCTCTGCCTCCTAAAGCGTGAGCCACCGAGCTGGCCTGCTACCAACTTTTTTGTTGTCAAAGTCAGGGTCTGTCCACCCTGGGGCCTGTCTTGGCATCCCCGGCAAGAGCCACTGTCCGAAGACCTTGGCAGGTGTTCCCGCTAAGCCCAGGAGAGGGCGCCCGACATCATGAAGCTCAGAGGACAGCATCTGCTCTGGGTAGCTGTGGCTGGGGACTTACCTGTCTGGGCCAGCAGCTCTCAGCTCTGGGCCACCCACCTCCCAGGTCAGGCTGCCAGGAAGCTGGTCTAAATCCTCCACTCCCTCCCCCACAGGTCCAAGGAGCCGGTAGTGCTGTCCCATCTCCCCCACCCCTTGGGCCTTTGGCCCCTTTAGGAGTAGGGCTGGGTGAGGGATGCAGGGGGGCAACAGCCCCCTCCTACTGACCCCTCACCTTCCCCTGAACCTCTCCCACACCCCCTCCCCCAAATCAGCTGTTATCAGCTGTTCCCACCCAGCAGCCAGGCCCTGGGCAGAGGCAACTGCGCTGACTCCTCAGTCAGGCCTCAGTTCTTGGACCCCCTCCTCTGTGACGTTTCTGTCCCATGCTGCCCTGGCTGGGAGCAGAGACTGCCAAGGGTGATTTGGTGGCAAGTTTCATGGGCCCTTCCCAAACCACCCCAGCATGCGTGTGCTTGCCATGGAGACACCGCTCCCGAGCCTCTCCCCTTGCAGACAGACCTGCGGACCCCCGAGCCCTCCCAGGTGAGGGAGGGTTCCCAGGGCCGGCCTCTCCCCTGCTGGGCAGGGCTCTTCTCTGGTGCACCCTCCAGTGCCTGGCAACTAGTAGGCGCTCAGCGAATGGCCATTTCCCCACAAATTTTTATTAAGAAAAATTCCAAATATACAGAAAAGTTGAAAGAACAAGTACACCATTCAGTGAAAGACCAGCCACTGCAGATTCAACAATGAACATTTTGCCTTATTTGCTTTGTGTATTTTTGGGGGGAACCACTTGGAATTAAATGACACATTTCTTGAAGTCATTCACCTACATAATTCAGCATCTATCTTCTAAGGATAAAGACATTCTGCTACAAACCTCAATATCATTACATGGCTATTAGATGAGTGGTCTCAGTGAGGACTCCTGGAACCCCACAGAAGCGTGCTGGGCCTTTAGCAGGGTCGGTGTAACCCAGGCCCGGCTCCTCCTTCTCCTCCTCCTCTTAGGGGCAACAAGGTATTCTGGAGAGCTGTCTGGATGGAAAATGACAAACACCAGCTCCACCTGGGAAGCCCAAACACCCCCAGCCCCACCCTTACATTGGGAGCTGGCAAGCTGGGTCCCAATTGAGGGGACAGGGCAGCCAGCAGAGGGCTGCAGCATGCCAGGTAGCAGCGGAGTCCCTGGGGGTGGACTGAACAGCCATGGGCTGCAGCCCTACCCCACACAGCCTGCAGCTGCTCTGCTCAGCCCTGGCACTGCCAAAGCAGTGGGCTCAAGCCACCAGGGTGGGCCCACAAAGCCTCCGTTTCCAGGTCCAGGGGTCAGGCAAGGAGATCTCCTCCGGGCTGGGCCCTGCCTCACCAGCTTTGCTGGTGGAATTAAATATAGAACAAGGAGACACAGTTGCCAGGCAGGAGCAGGAGGTGCTGTGAATAGAACAGTGCCCTTTGCGGTGACAAAACTATGAGGGGCCTGCTGTGCATGTGCCAGGGCCTGCGGGCAGATCCCCCGACCCTCAGTGACCTCTGAGCTATGGGATTTCGTCCCCATTTCACACAGGAGAAATCTGAAGTTCAGATGAATGAAGCTTTTTCCCCAAGATCATTCTGCCAAGAAGCAGAAGAGCCCAAGCGCAGACAGTCTGGAGCCCACGTTCTTGCTGCCAACTCTCACGACGGCTTAGGGGCTCCGCCCCAGGCTCAGAACTAACTCTTCTTTAGTGTTTCTCCACGCAGGCCAAGTGTGCCCACCTGCCGTAGCTCACGCTTGCCCACTGCCTGCAACGAACGCCCTTGCGCAGAGTAGGTGCTTCCGGAAGCATCTGCGGGAAGGTGACTGCAGAGTGGAGGGTTGGTCCAGCCCCCTGGGCCTGGCAGGATTGAAGCCTGGGAAAGGTCAAAGCAGAGAAAGTGTGGAGGCGTCTCCCCTCCAGAGCGTTCCTTGGTGACTCTGCAGGAGGCTCCGGGAGCCTGTCTGGCACAGGGATGGAGGCCAGGCGTGCACTGCTGCTCCCTGCCCTGAGCTCCACGCCCAGCCTGCTGTTTGCCAACTTCTGTGAGCTTGAGCGGCTGGTTCTGGTTCAAGGGCTCTGAGCTGGCTCAGCCCCAAACCAGGGCCTCTTCCTGGGCCTCAATGAAGCATGCCCGTGAGTCAGCACTGAGCTGCAAGCTGAGCAACAGGCAGGCGGGTGTGGGGGGAGCAGAGACTGAGAGGAAGGGGGCTGGGCTGGCACCTGGAAGAACCCACATCCTTGCAGCCTCCAGTGGCTTCAAGATCTTTGCCCCTGCAGCTCTTTCCAGAAGAGTTTCAACATACCTACTCCGCAGATGATGGCAGACTGGTTCCATGATGTTTGAGAGGGTCAGGAGGCTTGCAGGATGCATGCGTGACCTGCGGCCTTCCTTCCACCCAGGAACAACCTTCTGAAAATCACTCTACACACCTGTAGCCCAAAAGTAGTAGCCTGAAGGAATGCTAAGGAGGTAGGTGAGGGAGTGGGGGGCAGGCCCTTGCCCCCATTTCTTGATTGTGTAACAATACTTCATTAAAATAAAATCACACAGTGCATCTTTTATTAGACATTATTTTAATACCATATCAAAACACCTTGACTAATGAAGAAAGCTTTTCTCTCAAGCTTTGAACATTTTTTAAACATTTTATAAGGTTTTTTTTTTGTATTTTAATATATAAATACAGAAACCTATCTTGCATGGGTTGATGCCACGTGTGAACATCAATGGCTAAAATGTTCTCAAACAGAATGCCTGAAAACAGGGGTAGCTGTACATACTTCTTAGTTTTCTTTGTTTAAGTTTTCTGGGGAAAAAAAAAATCCACAAGGGCCTAAGAATAACGTTCAGGCATTTTTGCAGGACACTTGTGATTGTTAAATCCTCTGAACTGACCAGAACCAGGAGAGAAGGGAGAAAAAATGGGACTGAAGGTGGGAAGAGAGTCCTCGAGGGGTTGTTCTTTTGGCAAAGAAGTCAAGATATCAGGATCCCAAGGGGAGAAAAGTGCAAAACCAAGCCAGGAAAATGGAAAAAAACCCAAGGTAGAGAGGTTGGTGGTGGAGAGGGCCGGTCAGGGCACCGGGCAAAGGAAGAGACCGTGTGTGCCCGCCAGCACCGGAGCGCGGGCGGCGAGGACTGGTGTGTCCGTTTCTGTCACTGAGTGGGTTATAGCTGGGCAGCAAACAGCAATCTGTAAACATCACGAGGGAAAACACCAGTCGACACTAGACTTTTTTTTTTATATAATTTTTTTTTTTTTTGTAAACACTTTAAAGACAGACCCACAATGCCTTTCAAAGGTGAAAAAGAAAATGCCCTTTCCCTCCTGGGCTGAGGGGTGAGGGGAAGGATAGCAGTTGATTCGTTCTTCTCTCAAACTCGCTCTCATCCAATTTGGTGTCCTCGGGGAGGAAGGGAGAACCATTTTCTGAAGTCAGTGCAGAAGGGGTGCCCTGTTCCCACTGGTGTCCCCAGCTCAGCTCTGCCCCAGTGTCCGATGAGCCTCCTCTCGGGAACAGGGGCTGTCTGTCCCTGTGTGGATTGTAACAAGTCAGGCGCGCTCCGCCGGGCCAGGCTGGCTACTGCGTCCCACAGCAGCGTGCATCCACCGAGGGCAGGCTGGCCGGGGTGTCGGGGTTCGGTCTGGGCAGCCCCCTGGAGCCAAACGTCAACGGGGGGTTTGGGCCCGTGCTCCTGGGCAGGCTCCACTCCCCGCCTCACTCTCACCCTGGCTGTTTCTTCTCCCCATGCCATCGGTTTTTGAGGTGAACGTAAAAAGAGCAAATGTCCCTGATTTGTCTGACATCATCAGCTGTTCTGGGAGTTTACTTGGAATAAATAAAATAAACCTAACAAAAGAAGAGAAAACAGAAGAGAGAGAGAGAAAGAGAAAGAGAGAGAGAAGGGGGTGGGGAAGAAAGGAGGCCCCAAGACCTTTGCATGTGAGATGAGGAGTCTTCGGGCTTTTGGCTTTCTGGGGGTTTTGTCTACTTGTTCGCCAGGAAAGAGGAAATGCCAGCCCAGAGCTGGAAGGGAAAGGTAGGCCGGGGGACAGGAGAGGGCGGGCAGCAGCAAAGCCAGGTGCCCCGGGGAGGAGATGGGGCGGCCAAACCCACGTGGGCCGGGCGAGGTGCTCTCCTGGGAGCAGGGCGCCGCGGTGGGGTCAGCACCCTGCGCTGAGGGGCGGAGGGGCCGAGCCTGGCCTGGAGGCCTCAGATTCATCTGGAAGCGGGGCAGGAAGAACCAACAGTAAAATGATCGCTGACAAGCACTCTGCAGTGGACAATGCACCGTCCCATAGGCTGGCTGTTTAGTAAGCGCAGTGTCCATATGGCGACAGGGACTGAGATTATTCCCGAGCGGAGACTCCAGGGTGAGTGAGGACGAGGCGGAGCTGGGCTCAAACCCAGCGCTCCAGCTTCTTCTCCTGCCCACACACATTTCCAGGGGATCTTCCTGAACTTTCTTCAGGGAGATTCACTCTAGCATTTGGAACACACCGTCTCTCCCTCAACTAATTCTAACTCTTCTGAGCAAGTTCTTCATAATCCTGCACGTTAGTTTCTATCTCTTATCCTTCCCCAGGAGAATCACTTCCATTTCTAGATAACTAGTAACTGAGGGAAAGGCGCCCCGTCTTTCCCTCTGCTCCTGCTTTCTTCTTGGTGGGGTGTGTAAGGGCAGCCCCGCTCCCCCACCTGCAGGCCCCCAGAGTGACTCGACCCCGAGCCTTGCACCCGGATCACCCCCGACCACGGGCTCACCTTTGAGAGGAGTCGGCAAGCAAGCCCAGCAGGGTCAGTCCGCAGGGTGTTCCGGACAAGATCTGTTCACTTCAAACCATGAGTCTATGCAGCTAGGGAGGAGGGGGCAGCAAGGGGAGACCGCGTTACCAGCCGGCCAGACTGCTCCTCCAAAAGGGGCTCTTTCAAAGGGTCAGATTCCTGAGTGTGGGCTTCCTAAATCTCTCCTGAAAGGACCCCAGGGAAAAACAATCATGTCCCCAGACCCCTACGTTTTGAAGGGGGAACACCAAGACCGATCTTGGCGCAGCTGGAGGCAGCAGCGGTGGGTGCAGGCTAGGTGGACCTGGCGCTGCAGGAAGGGGAGAGTAGACAACGCACTATCCCGGAGTCTGTTTGGTAAGTGGAACCAAGGCCTTATGTTCACGGAGCCCAGGAGGAGGCAACGGCCACTGGTGAGAAGGTGAGAGCAGGTGGACTGTGCAGGGCCACCAGTCAGCTATCGCCAAGGCTTCGAGGGCAGAAGTGGGAAAAATGGCACAGCAGGACGGCTATGGTTCTAGGCCCTGGGGTCCTGAGAGAGTCCCCTCCTGGGTCAAAAGAGCAGCCATGGGGCTCCCTCCGAGTTAGTGACCTCAGGAGAGCCCCATGCTCTACCAGATCACAGCGGCATCTAGTCCTTCCTGGAGAAGGTGGGGAGAGGCGCTGAGAAAGCAGGCCAGGGAGGAAGCTGACAGCGAGGCCCTGGTCTCCAGTGTTTACAGAAAAGGACTGTCTGCATTAAAGAGGGAACAGAGATTGCCCCAAGACAGCTTCCCAATTTGTAAACCAACATCTGGGCATTTTCAAAGACAGGAACCAGACAGATAATTTGCATAATTCTCCCCCAGGGCCAAAGATTTCCTTTTCTGGTTCTGGTTAGTGCCTTGCTGGTCACTGCAAAGCTCTGTGCTGGGACCCAGACCAAGAATCTCTCCCAGGCCAATCGTGGGCCTCCTCTGCACCAGCCACATCTCATGCTGCGCGTGGCTATCACCCTGTGGACTAGTGACCCTCAGAGTCAGGCTCTGAAAGGCCAGTGTGTTAGGAAGAAGCCCTGTGCTCGGGGAGCTGGAGAGTAGGTGGTGGCCACAGGCAGCACGAGTGTCTCCCTGTCTTGGGCAAGGGGGTGTCTTCTTTCCAGTTGGAAACAAGATGGAGGCTCACACTGGAGCCTGAGGACAGATCTGGGCCCTGCTACTTGTAGCAGCTCTCAGAGCCCTGGCCTCACAGGCAGTGGCTTTTCCTGCCTCCCAGCCCTATGGGAAGAAGGGTGAGTCTGGAGCAGGGCATGGCACACTCTCCACATGGCCCCTCTGGCACAGATGGAGGCTCTCACCCTGGGTACCGAGGGGCCCATGAGGAAGGAAAGGCTCAGGGAGACAGAGGGAGAACCAACTTACCAAGAGGATCCTCAGCACCTCTAACCTGAGGGGCTCCCACCATCCAAGCCCCTAAACTAGAGCAAAGCTCTGGCAACTCAACTCCGCCCTGCACCTGGGGTGCTCACACCTTCCTGTGAGCACACAGTGGATGCCCGTCCACGGGCCTCTGCCTCGACCCTACTCAGAGCCCGAGGTGGGGCAGAGTTTGTCCCACAGCCAAAGGGGACAAGATGGCTAGTGATGGGCCAGCCCCTTATACCTTTTGTGATAGATGCACAGGCAGGGCAGCCTGGCTATCGTGTCCCCCTGAAGCAGCTCCTCCAGGCAGATCACACACTCACCCGCATCTTTAGTCAGCACGTCATCTGCAAGGGGGACAGGGGAGAGTGCGAGGGTGTTAGTCACCAGTGCACAGGTGGCACAAAGTAGGCCTGGGCCTAATAACTAGTTGGGACTGCTTGGATGGCCCAAACTCTGCTAGGCTCTGTGGGGGCACGCAGAAGCCCAAGAGGGACCTTGACCTGATCACCCTCACTGTGGAGACAAGACATGAACACCACAGTTAATTACCCAAAGGCAAAATGGGATTAATCCCCAAATGGGATAACCAAAGGCCCAGGTGGTGGAAGCTGAAAAAGGCTTGGAGAAGGAGACATGAAGCAGAGGTGGTATGAAGCAAGCTGTTTGCCCCTAATGGACTTTTCCCTAAACATACACATATACCAGGTGCACTGATTTCTGGTTTGGAAAATATGGTAGTTGGGACAGTGGCATGAAGCAAGAATGCGGGGCAGAAACAGCAAATACTCATGAACGAATGCTCATGACAGTGCTGTTCGCAATAGCCAAAAGGTGGAAACAACCTGAATGTCCACGAGCTAATGAACAGATAAACAAAATGTGGTATATCCACACAGTGGAATATTACTCAGCCAAGAAAAGGAAGGAAGAACAGATACATGCTACGATGTGGACGAACCTTAAAAATATCATGCTAAGTGTAAGCAGCCAGATCTAAAAGGCCACCTATTGTATGAATCCATTTATATAAAATGTCTGGAATAGACAAATCTATAGAGATAGAATGCTGATCAGGGCTTGGGGCAGGGGAAATGGGGAGTGACTGCTTAATGGGGAAGGAGTTTTCTTTTCTTTCTCCCCTTTTAAACAACTTTATTTTATTGCCCTAAGAACATTTAACATGCAATCTAGCCTCTTACATTTTTAAGTGTACGATACATATTGTCAATGACAGGCACTGTACTGTACAGCAGATGTCTAGAACTTATTCATTTTGCATAATGAAATTTTATAGCCATTAATCAGCTATAACTCCCCTTCTCCCCCTCCCCCAGCTCCTGGCAACCACCAGTCTACTCTCTGGTTCCGTGCATTTGACTATTTCAGCTACTCATACAAGTGGATGCCTGCCAGGGGTTTTCTTTCAGGGTGATGAAATGTTTGGAACCAGATAAGAGATGGCGGTGGCACAACATTGTGAATGTCCTAAATGCCACTAAATTGTACATTTTAAAATGGTTGACTTGGTGTTATATGAATTTCATCTCAATTTTTAAAAAAGAAAAGAAAAGACCCTCCTTCCCTTTCCAAAAAGAACGAATGGAAGGAAGCTACTGCCCACGGTGACGCCCAGCAAAGCCACGACTGGAAAAGCCCGAGTAGAACAGGGACAGAGTCGGCAGTTCTTTATTTTCTATGACATTCTGTGCGCTGACGACTCAGAGTAAATAAGCCACAGTTTCAGGGTGCAAGAAGCTCACAGACTAGTAGAGGAGGCCAAACAAGAAAACCAAGAGGCACAGCATGGTAATTTCTAGGAAGTCTTGTGACGCACAGGCCCAGGTATGAGAGGTATGGAAGATACCTAGTCAGGGTGGGGACTGTTCAGGGAAGGCGATGACAAGGATGGGTGAAGTTGGGTGCGGAGAGGGAGATTCTGGGCACCTGGAACTGCAGGAAGTTTGCTATGGCAGGTACAGAGGCACATGGGGCGAGGAGGTTGGTGAGACCAAGTCCCTGAGGACAGACTCGTGTCCTGCTGCGGTGCCTGGGTTTTGTCTGGTTAACCGCGAGGCCCTGGAGGCGCACCCAGTCACAGCTCCAGCAGCTATTAGAGGACACAGTGAGGAGTTCGCAAGTGGGGAGCCCACTCTGGAGGCCATTAGCATGCAAGGCGCAGCGGTAATGCACGTGCTGACGAGGGCAGCTGGGCAAATGGCGGGCACCTGTCACTAAGAGAGGGAATCTAGGAGAACAGGCATGGGGAGGAAGTGACAAATTCCACTGGGTGAGAGGTGTCGACGCGGCGTGCTGATGGAGACCTTCAAGATCTGCTGAAGTCTAGATCTGGGGTGTGGAGCAGAGACGGGGGCGACAGGCGTAGATGTGGGATAAAGAGACTGCCTGGGAAGACAGTTTAGACCGAAATCGAAAGAAGGCAGAAAACAGCCCCAGGTTGATGCTAATATTTGAAGGGCAGGTGAAGGAGGCGAAGTGAGTAAAAAGGTTACCCAGAAGTTCTCAGCACCAAGGGGAAGTATCAAGAGAGCGGGGTTATGGAAGTGAAGAAAGGAGAGCTTGCAGAGGGGTCGGTTCCCCACCACTGTTCGTGAACACTGACCATGAAACATACCAACAGTCTGAGCGTTTCCTTCGAGCTCCATAATCTTCCAAGCTAGGCAGGGCACACAGAGTTATTCCCACTTTGCCAATACGGATACGGAAGCCCAGAGAAGTCACACACCCTGCCTGGTCAGAGGGCTCATGAGTGGTGCTGCTGGGACTGGACCCTCTGCTCATGTGACCTTCCTCATTGCTGTTTGTGTCCCCTGATTATTTTGGTGGAGAGGGAAACATCCAGGGCCCATCAATGAGGATTCTTCATGGCCCAGAGGCTATGATGACTTAAAGCCTCTCACCAGGAACCCCAAGGAAAAAGCATAAAATAGGACTGATTCGATCATCAAGTTCCCAGGCACGTGAGCTGTAAAAGTCACTCTTCATTTCCTGGCCACCAGGACAACCTGTGGTCATTTTCTCTGCCTGTAACATCTGGCTACCCTAAAGACCCACCTGAAAGGGCAACACAAATAGACAATGGAGATGGCACACAGTCTGCTACTGGAGTTTCACCCCGGACTCCAAAGGGGACAGAGGCAATCAACGTAACGGGCGTGGTCTCACTGCTTTAGAGCAGTGGGTACCATACATGTTAAACGTTGCGTAAGTACAGAAAAAAGTCTGGAGGATACACACACTTTAATAGTGCTGGAGGAAAGGAGAATTAGAAGAAAAATACTTTTATATACTTTTGGATTCCTTAAATGTTTGAACATGCATTACTTTTGTAATTAAAAACCCCAATAAACCAGCACACTGGTATTTGCATTTTACTCTGAAACGCACCAGAAGGATAAGAAGGGTTGGTAGATGCAGAGACAGGTGACAGACCACAGTATAATGCACTCTAGATGGTGGGTATATGGGTGCTGACTGCAAAACTCCCCACTTTGCTGTATGTTTGACACTTTTCATAATAAAACATTAGAGGAAAAAACCTCAACAAAGATGGGAGGCAAAACAGCCCAGCTGTAGAGGGCAGAGCCATCCTGCCGACATCCTTGGACCCTTATTTTCCACTCTCTGTCTGGGGCACCTCGTTCAGGACAGGAGCGTTTGGGTTACAGCCCGTGGTTTCCTTTCAAGTACTCCTCTCCACACTGAAGGCTGCTTTCCTCAGAGCAGGGCAATTATTGATTCCAAAGTAGTCTCCCTTTGCATCTTCCCCTGCTGGTTCATAACTCAGCTGTGAGCCCGAGGGACTAGTTACAATGCTCTGGGTCCCAAACAGCTTCCGGCACCAGTCTGTGTCCACTCCAGGAGGGCACGCGTGGCCCCCTGGAGGTGATGGATCCAGGGGAGTGGAGGCAGGTGTGGAGACAGGCTCAGGGGCTCTCTTCTTCAACAAGACCGGACTTGACTCTCCTTTTTCTCACTGAACATTACTAGCGAAGGGGCAGGGGCAGGGGTGCGAGAGCAACTCTTCTTGTCCCAGGGTGCGAGGCCCACACGCCAAAGGGCTCAGACCTGAGCACAGAAAGGCTGGATGCAGCCTGTCCTTACCGTGCCACAGAGCGGTTTTGTGTACAGTGCAGATGTGTCCTGCCAGCTGGCCTGGGTCTGCAGCACGGGTGGGGACAACTAAAACATGCAGCTGCCCCGCCAGGCTGGCACGTGGCAGGCAGCACATTTCACTGGGACCAAGAGCCACTGGCTGCAAAAGGCCACCTGGAGATTCCTGGGGATGGGGAGGAGTCAGAGGCTTAGAATGTGACAGCACGGGAAGCCAGCAGTGGCCACACGTAGCGCAGTGCCCAGGGAGTAGCATTCTTCCATGCGGAAGGCAGGAGCACAAACCCAGCAAGAGGTCTGAGTGGGCTGAGTAAAACTTCCTGTCCCAATCCCTGGGGATATGGGAACCAGCAGCCCCCAGATGTGCCTGAGGTCCTAGCAGGGAGTAGAACTGGCTGGAGCTGAGGCTTGGTTATCACTGGGTCCCACAAGACGGCCACACTCATTTGCCAGGAGTCTGCTACCTGCTGTCAGAGGGACGTCAGGCGGAGGCCTTGCAGCACAAAGCCAAGGACCCTGGGCCCACACACGCTGAGGCCACAGCATGATGGACTCATGTGCCCCTTGGCACCCCCAGGCCCCCAGAGAAGGGACTCAACAAAGGCTGGTTGATGAGAACATAGGAGCAAAGCTGAACTTTCTGCCTTTTTCTTACTGCCTCTCAAGTCCCTCCCAAGCTTCCTGATACCAGTGTGCAAAGCCAATCAGAGTCACTGCCCAAGGGGAAGTCTGGAAGTGCCTTCGGCCTGGCTGAGGGTGGTGCCAGTGCCTGTCCCTCTAACCGGACCAGGAAACCAAACCAGAATGGCAGACGAAGCTCTCTGGAGCCAAACAGAAGGTGTGACGCCTGTGACAGGCTGGGGGTGGGAGGGGACAGCATCTTCTGCTGCCTCCCTGGGATCCAGGCATAGCTCTCCTGACAGCTGCTGTTTGTCAAAGAAAAGAAATCTAGGAGGAGGAGGAAAAAGAGCCCTCACTTCTTTGGGCCAGCTATATGTGGGCAACTGCAGACACATCTGAATGGATCCTAGACCCTGTGGGAGCCTTTGGACAAGCACATGCAGCTGCTAAGTGGCCATGACTCCCAAGCCAGAGTTCCTTCCACCCCGCCGCCCTGCCTCCTTTCCTTAAAAGACCAGGCCATATGGCTGTCTTCCCATGGGGCTGGAAAACACCACCCATCTCACAGGCAGCTTCCAACCTCTCCCTTTTT